GGTTAAAGTAGGTGAGATTCTGCCAGAGAGGAAACAGTGCTAATTCCAACATGTGCTTCCCTCTAAATGCAAAGTGGTCCATACAGCAGACCTAGAAACTGCTGTTGGCCACAACCTCCTCCTTTCATACTTTGGTTGAGGGATATTGTTTATTTTCTTAAACTTGAAAAAATGAGAATGTCACTACGGGCAGCCATTACGACGATTGGTTGGTCAAGTTCATTTTGATTCTGTCCCAGTCTAGTCCTTCGTGTATATATCCGTCTGCTCATCCTGTGTCCTTTTTCTCGTATTTTCCTTTTCTTATGGTTCCGTATTTGCTTTCCTGGGCACAAACTGTACTTTTTTTTTTAGGTGTAGCAGAATGCATCTTAATTTTTTATCCATTTCAAAACTTTTCTGTGTGCGTGTGTCCTTCTTCTTATGACTTTTTCTTATTGCCTGGGAGTGATTGGAGGTTTTGTTGTGTTTTTTGTTTTGTTTTTATAACTCAAGGGAATTGTATGGTTTGTTTTATATGCATCACATTGTAAATGTATGGCTATGCAATTGTTGTTAAAAACCAAATAAACAAAGTTTGAAAAAAAAAAAAAACTGCTGTTGGTGGTCTGATTTTTATCGGCTACGCTGCTTCTTCTTCTTCTTGTTTCCTACTGGTGGTTGGCTTTGGGCGCAGTAGCGCCCCCTTCTGGTCTGGAGTGTAAACGCTTCCCTCTGAGAAAAAGGAGCAGCAGGAACCGTACACAACACACGCGAACCGAACCGAGACAGAACCCAACGGTTCAGACGGTTTTCAGAAACCGTCCCATCCCTACGGCGGACTAAACTCACGTCCTCCTGCTCGTTGGCGGCGATGGAGGTGACGTATCCGGCAAAGCGGCTGTCGCTGCCTCCGTAGATCTCCTGGTCGTAGAAACCGGTGGAGTCCAGGCCCACCCCCTGCTCCCCCTCCTCCACCAGGGAGGCCTTCATCCCCTGGATCTCCAGGATCTGGGCCTCGATGTCTGGAACAAGGTAAACAGGTACAAAAAAGAAGGAAAATTAAGAAACGAGAACAAGAAAAATTCCAGATTTACAATCATCTGCCTCTTTAAAAATCGGTTGAAGGAGAAACCAATTCAGAAGGGACCAGAGGAACATTTATTTATATAACTTTATTATCACATTTTTTCATTCATTTATGGAACAATTGGAGGTGGTCTAATGTTTATTTGTTGGATAAATCCATGTTGGGTGATATGTGGATCCAGACTTTAGCTCTTCTATCCTCTGGGAATCCCAACAGATTTCACCTCTCAGGTCAAAAAGAGCTTTAGATTGGAATGTTTAAGGAAAAACTGACTAAATGTGTACTTTTTCTCCTTTTCTTGGGACGTCACCACCACAGACATAATTTCCCCCTTTTTTCCAGTAGTGTTCAGTTTTAATTCTTAAAAAAAATCCCAGATTTACAATCATCTGCCTTTTTAACTCATTGACTGCCAGAGTTTTTTGAGCATTTTGACTGATTTTTCAAGAGCCACAGAATAGTTTGTGCTATGACTATGTGAACACCGAACACCCCAAAAGAAAGAGTAAACTTAAGGGTAAACAAGCTTTAGCAGATCGACCCCCAGCCACTCTCGTTGAAAAACATAAAAGACCTCTATAGAGGTCTTTGGCAGCCAATGAGTTAAAAATCAGTGGAAGGAGAAACCACTTATGAAGAGACCAGAGGAGCATTTCAGAGAACTTTATTATCACCATTTTCATTCATTTATGGAACAATTGGAGGTGGTGCAATGCTTATTTGTTGGATAAATCCATGTTGGTGTCATGTGGATCCAGACTTTAGCTCTTGTATCCCAAAAGATTTCACCTCTTAGGTCAAACAGACAAAAATAGCTCAGAGATTGGACTGTTTAAGGAAAAACTGGGTAAATAGCTAATTTTTCTCCTTTTCTTGGAACGTCACTAACACAGACAATTTCCCCCTTATTCTAGAAGTAGTGTTCAGTTCTAATTTTTAAACATTACACCCCAATTATGAGCGGAAAAGGTCAGAAACCCTGATAGTTGAACTCAAATAGTTGACCTATAAATGTGGAATAATCTATAAAGGATAAAAGGGGATGTGGTTCCTGAAAGTTACAAGATTCTGTTAAGATTAATCTAAAAAATCATCAGGGGAAAATATATTGGGCTCAAAAAGGAACCACAAACAACAAAGAGGTTAAATATGGATGTTTTTGACCCTCTGTGTTCAATTTAAGGATCAGAACTTTATTGAAAAGTAGACATAGATCAATAAATCTGCTGTAATTTAGTGTAACAGGTACTTTTTAAAAAAGATTAAAGTAGAATTAGTTCAGGTATCAGACATTTAGCTGCTCACAGACAACATGTTTAACGGAGCAGAATTAAGTTTTAATAGCATAAAAATGCTGGTTGAACCTTTTACATGGCTTGACCCAGTTAATAAAACACAGACATTATCTTTATTTAATTTGATTTACCGAACCTAAATCTGCTGTGACGTGAAAGGGACTCAAATACAATATTTTAATCTGATACATGTTGGTCAGATCGAGGTTTAAAATTCTAATAGACAGACACAAAGCTTTGCGCTTTTTATAAAGAAAATGAAAACTGATCTCGGATTTAAATTAGGTTTTTAACTGAGTGAACGTATTCAAAAAGTGTTTCGCATTATAAAACAATGACGCAGAGCTCTTCCTCCTGATTATCTGGTCTGTGTTTAGCATGGTGCTGCTTAGCTTGTTACGTGAGGTTAGCTTTAAGCTAAATAACGGCCGAAAAACGTAAAACTGTGAGGAACTACCGGTACAAATACCGTCACATTAGCAAAGCAGGACACGAACAACATATATGTGAAGGCATTTTGAAGTGGAATTACATCAATAGTTAGTTATAAGTTGGGGAAATCTGCGGAAACGGACAAATGAGGCTAACAAGCTAACCAGCTAGCATCCAGCGCCATTATGCAAACCGTCCGCGTTGCGTTGTTAAGGACCCGCTCCTTTAAGCGCTTTTAACTCGATTTAGCAACCGAATAAAGCCACCAACACGTGACCAGGAGCTGCATTTGAAGACAAAATACGACACACGAAATGCACGAAGAAAAACAGGTCGATT